AATAAACTACTACTTACTACATGTACTACTATTCCTACTTTACAGTCTTTCACTTATCGCGGGTCTTCAGGTTATGGATCCCCTGCGATAAACGAGGGACTACTGTACATATTTAATGTATCATAAATAACTTTTAAGTGTCTGTAACATGCATACCTACAAATATAAAAATTGAAAAAAAAAAAAAAAAACCCCAAAAAACCCCAACATCTTAATATTTAAGAAATTTGGCATAAAACATGATTTTACACATTTTGATTTTACTAAACATGACATTTTAACTGACTCTGGTCTCTTTAAATTCACCATGCTGAAGGTGATTTGATACACAGCTAGCTCCTGTACACATGAGTTATGGTTACTCTGTGCACCCCGCAGTGTGTGAGTGCATGCAGGTGCAGGGGTTGATGCGAGGCCAGGACCAGAGCAGGACCACACAGAGCGGTGTGGCTTGTTCCTGCAGTGAACGGTCGAGGAGGAGGGGAGTTCCGGTATCTTTGTTGTGAAATTGGTGTGCTGAATATCTGACCTAACCTCAGCAAGTCACACACGCACACGTCATATACACACATTGTCCTGGGGTTACACACACTCCCAGTAACCAGGCAAGCAGTTAGTAAACAGATCAGCAGTAAAAAGCCGAGGCAGAGTGGGAGTTACCTCACACGAAGAGCCTTGCGTCCGGTAACTTGGTACTATTTTGAAGGTTATGCTTCCTCTCATGTCTCTCTGTGGACACATACCATTGGTAGTTTTAGCTTCAACACATGACCTAACAGCACTGTGATGTGAGAAGGGACTAACAAGTGTTAAACAGAAATAAAAACTTTCGCAGACAAACAAAAACCTGTCTGTTCATCCTGAGAGAGCACACTGACATGACAGAAACGTAGTGAATGTCTAATCTGAAGCTGTGAAATACAAGTTTCTCTGGGCTCTCAACAACCACACTATATTTTATAATAAAGTTTATACTGTTACATTCTTTCTTGATGGACCACTTCCCTCTCAGACTGCAAGTTTATTTGTGGTTCCTACGGTTTTTAAAAGTTACCAGCTCATCTTTTGTGGAACCAACTTTCAGTTTCTGTATGCGAGACTGACATCTACTTTTATGACCTGACTTAAGACGTTCCTTCTTGATAAATCCTATAGTTATGGTCAGCTTGGGTTTCCTCAGCTATCTCTTATTATGCTGCTTTAAGCTTAGACTGCTGGAGAACATGCTGACTACATTTCCTGCTCCTATTTTTTGCGGTGTTGTTTTGTCTAATAGAAAGTGCACCAGGATCAATCTTTCTGTTTGCCTTTCTATTTCCTGTTCTCTCAACTCCAAGCTATCCAGGACAGATGTTGGTCCTGAGCCTGGTTTTGTTGGAGATTTCTTCCTGTTAAGGGAAGTCATTCTTTTCCACTGTGTCCATTACACTTTCTCAGGATGGAGGATTGAAACAAAGTAAAGATGTGATGCAGTCTGCTGGCTTCATTACTTTTATTAGGTGGTTTCATCATTTTCTGTATATGAATGTTTCGTATTATATTAGGGATCGAATGACTGGAAAAGGATTTGAATCTTAATCTGAATTAGATTTATGATTTGAACTTGCTTTTCCCTTTGATGACTTATGTTGTGGATCAGCATTAGATCAGATTCTTGTGGCCCACTGTCCTGCCTGTTCTAGATGTTTCGCTGCTTCAACACACCTGATTGAAATGCATGAGTTGTTGACAGGCATCTGCTAAACTTGATATTTGAAGTAAATAATTTAAATATTTGGATCTGGTGTTTTGAAGCAGCCCCTCTGCAAACGACCATCAGCCTAAACCACCTTCTTCCTGAGGTCTGAAACGTTCAGTGGCCTAACACAGATCACTCACCAGCATCTTCTGCAACTGCTCCACTGTCTGGTTGGCCACACTGATGCTGTTGATTTCCCTGATCTCATCTCCAACGTGCAACGTTCCTAAAAACAAATAACAAATTAGATGAGAATGGAAATGTAAAACATAACGACACTATTCTTGTCATCAAAGAATGTTGGTTACGTTTCATTATCCCCTGATGCTTTTTCTGCCCCTGACATCAGCAGAGGAAAGCATCGTCTGTCTCACGTGATAAATTAAATGGATGTTAATTAACAGGACAACACCATTATGTCATAGGCACACAGGAAAATGCTGTTTATCTTCAGCTATGATTAATATTCCTTTTAAACACTGGTAATTTAAAAAGACCTAAACACTTCTGTCTCCTGAAAATTTAAAGTCATAATAAAAAGTTAAAGACCTAAAATTCTTTGAAGAAATGCATACTGCCTTCTGACAAGCCAGAATGTTTAACTAAGACTCCCTTGCATAGACAAGGAATGGAGTTCTATCTGTTTTAGCCAAATATTGCAAATGACATCCTGTGTGATCTCAGGTGATAATCTGAGATATTCTGAGATCTGATTGCATTTGAAGTATGTTTTGTGAATTAATCAACTACGTAGGGGCGGCTGTGGCTGAATGGTTAGAGCAGTCGTCCTCCAATGCGAGAGTTGGGGGTTCGAATCCACCAGCAGTCACATGCCGAAGTGTCCCTGGGCAAGACACTGAACCCCTCATAGCCTACGATGTGTGTACCATCAGTGTATGAATGTGATCTAAAAGCACTGGTTAGTCTCATTAGAATGATTTGTTCAGTTAGCTTTGTAGAGATATAGAGTGCTTTATGAATGGGTAAATAAGGGCAAAGATTGTAGTGTAAAGCGCTTTGAGGATCTTGAAATAAGATATCCATCCATCCATTTTCTTCCGCTTATCCGGGGTCGGGTCGTGGGGGTAGCAGCCTAAGTAGGGAGGCCCAGACTTTCCTCTCCTCCCCAGCCACTTGGGCCAGCTCTTCCGGGGGAATCCCGAGGCGTTCCCAGGCCAGCCGAGAAACATAGTCCCTCCAGCGTGTCCTGGGTCTTCCTCTGGGCCTCCTTCCGGTGGGACGTGTCTGGAACACCTCACCAGGGAGGCATCCAGGAGGCATCCTAAACAGATGTCCAAGCCACCTTAACTGGCTCCTCTCGACGTGGAGAAGCAGCGGCTCTACTCTGAGTCCCTCCCAGATGATTGAGCTTCTCACCCTATCTCTAAGGGAGAGCCCAGACACCCTACGGAGAAAACTCATTTCAGCCGCTTGTATCCGAGATCTCATTCTTTCGGTCACAACCCAAAGCTCGTGACCATAGATGAGGGTAGGAACGTAGATCGATTGGTAAATTTTAATTTTAATTTAATTTAATTTAATTTAATTTTAATTATTGCGCCGCTCAAGGTGGCTGCATGTTGGAGCAGCTCTGTTACTTTCATTCTGAGATTTTGCTTTTGGAAACTTTAATTCCTCTTTTTCTGGATGTAAATCACATTTTTTGGATGATTGTTTCCTCTGGTATCGGATGCTGTGCAGCTGGAAGGATTTTTACGGAAACTTTTTTAGTTTTGGACATTTGTTATGATGCGTAACCATGGCAACAAGGCAGTTTCTACAACCAACAGCAGCTGATTAACATCTCAAAAGCTCAAGTAATATCTCAACTACAGCCCTAAATTTCAAATGAGTTGAAAAGGATGTTCTGTGGACGCATTTTCATCTACCTGCCAGGTGTGCTCGAGTGCCTGACCACTGAGATCCTGGAACTAGCAGGAAACACAGCTCATGACAGCGGAAGGACAGGATCGTCCATCAGCACCTACAGTTGGCTGTCCGCAGCGATGAGGAGCTCAACAAGCTGCTGGGAGGAGTGGCCATTGCCCTGGGAGGATTTCTGCCCAACATTCAGGTGATCCTGAAGCCCAGGAGGTCAACCAAGTGCAAGTAAATGGATCAACATCTGCGGCCAGTTTTTTCAGATCTGCTATAAGACGGACCATCACAAGAGATCCTTCCCGCCCACAACCATCAACATCTAGAACAACTCTTTTATGAAACAAGGAAAATGAGCTACAACAACATTTAATTTCCCTCTGGGATTAATAAAGTATTTTTGAATTGAATTGAATTGAATTGAATTGAAATTGAGAGCTTCGCCTTTTGACTCAGCTCTCTCTTCACCGCGACAGACCTGTACAGCGCCTGCTTCACTGCAGATGCTGTACCTATCCGCCTATCGATCTCACGCTCCATTTTTCCCTCATTCGTGAACAAGACCCCAAGATGCTTGAACTCCTTCACTTGGGGTAGGACCTCCTCCCTGACCCAGAGAGGGCACTCTACCCTTTTCCGGCTCAAGACCATGACCTCGGATTTGGAGGAACTGATCTTCATCCCGGCCGCGTCGCATTCGGCTGCGAACCGCTCCAGCGAAAGCTGTCTATCATGACCTGATGAAGCCAACATGACCACATCATCTGCAAAAAGCAGATACGCAATCCTAAGGCCACCAAAACGGATCCTCTCAACACTGTGGCTGCACCTAGAAATTCTGTCCATAAAGGTTATGAACAGAATCGGTGGCAAAGGGCAACCTTGGCGGAGTCCAACCGGGAACAAGCCCGACTTACTGCCGGCGATGCGGACCAGGCTTTGACACCGGTCATACAGGGACCTAACAGCCTGTATCAAAGGGCCCGGTACCCCATACTCCCAGAGTATCCCCCACAGGGCTCCCCGAGGGACGCAGTCGAACGCCTTCTCCAAATCCACAAAGCACATGTAGTTGGGCAAACTCCCACGCACCGTCCAGGACCCTGCTGAGAGTGTAGAGCTGGTCCAGTGTTCCACGGCCAGGACGAAAACCGAAATAAGATAGAAAGGCGCTATATAAGTACAGTCCATTTATCATTTACCATTTACTCCAAAATACATTATGGCAAAGACTGGTTAATCCCAAAGATCCAGTCCCCCGGCACAAACAGATTAATATTGTGTATGCTGTTCAGTGTCAAAAGGGCTGTGATCAGTCTTACATCGGGGGAAACTAAACAGCCACTGGCCAAAAGGATAGCCCAACACAGATGAGCAACACCATCAGGCCAGGACTCTGAGGTCTACACTCATCTCCAGGCCAGCGGTCACTCTTTCAGGGATGAAGATGTTCAGTCAGCCCCCTGTGAATAGCAAACAGCCATCAGGGTGCTAACAATCCATTGTTATGCTGATTGTCCTCCTTGATCATGTGGACAGCTAGTTTTGGTTGTCAGCAGCAAACTGGTTGATCCACTCTGAGAAGGTGTTATTTAAAAGATTGAGCTGAATACAGCTCCTCAGGCTGAAGAAGTCTTTTGGATGAAAGATGAAACGTTTCTACAATTTTTTTTGTTTATTTTTTGAACATCCAGAGGACCTGACTTAATTTTTTTTACCTGGATTATTGAGAATGCATCAGGATAATCTCAACTACACTACATCAAATTTTAGCTCAGTATGTTTTAATTTGACCAAGTCATTGCCATTTCTGTATGGGCTGCATTAGCTTTGTGGATAAGCTTGTAATCCTGGGGCTGCCAGTTTATGCTTCCTTTTTTACTTTTAATGAACCAGATAAAACACAGAGTTGCTGCAGCGTAGTGCATCTGCTATAGATGTCCTGTTTTCGGTTATGCCAGCGGTAGTAAGCCCTAGCAAGCCCCAAAGTGGCTGATTCTTCAGCTTGCATGCATGTGAAACTATTGACTAAATACTTTGTAAGCAAATCAAATGTGTTTTTGCTCTTTACTTTTGGAGTAAAATAATTTTGTTGGATGAGATGAGATACAGAACCCAACAGCACTGTCCAACCGAGAAAGATGGACCTCGTCAAGGATAAGCTCCACCCCCGTTGGAGAATATTGTTCATCCAATGTAAATGTGATGCATCATCTTGTGAATGGCTATAAAATTGGGGGAGTGGTGGCGCAGAGGTTAGAAGATGGGCTTGTGATCGGAAAGTCTCAGGTTCACCTCCCGGTACCGTCAACATCAAAATGTGGGTGGAAAAGGTGAAACACCCACACCTCCCTCCACCCTCATTTGCCCCACTCTGGGCCCCTGAGCAAGGCCCTTAACGCCCACCATCTGCTCCATAAAACAGGTCTCTCTTGAAAATGAGTTCTCGTGGCTCAATGAGACTACCTGGATAAAAAAAGAGTAAATGAAAAAAAAAAAAGTAAAGTATAGAGATAGAGCCAAAATCAAATAATCAAAAAACATTACAGAAAGGATCTAACAAGGTTGAGTTAGGTCTTCTGGACGGGTTCTTCTATGTTGAAACATTTGCATTATTTTATGATACGATAAATATGGGGGGACGGCACGGTGGCATAGTTGGTAGAGTTGTTGCCTCTCAGCGAGAAAGTTGCTGGATCGAATCCAAGCCGGTCACATTTCTAGGTGGGGTTTTCATGTTCTCCCCATGCATGCGTGGGTTTTCTCTGGGTACTTAACAGACCAAAAACATGAGAAAAGTAATGAATGCTTGTTTGTCTAGTTTGTCTCTATGTTAGAGCTGTCATTTCTAACCTGGACCCGAAACCCAGGCCCAAAACCCGAATTTGGGCCGGGTCGGGTCATAATAATGTGCTGGATGGGCGGGCCAGGTCGGTGTTGAGCTTTTAATTGTGTCAGCGAATCAGCTGCGATCCAATTGTATGGCAACATGGCTTGCCATACAGGCACCAGTCGCACGTGGCCATTTGACCACGAGCGACCGGCCTTGAAAGAGGTAAATTATTGTTCACTTAAGCTTCAGATGGGACTACCGGTACTGTCAGGAAGCAATCCATCACCCAAATGGACATTCAGCCACTGCACTCATGGGACGCACGTGGCCTGATGACTCATACAGGTGAGATCCCAAAGCAGGTGTCAGAGAGCAGGATCCATGTGTGAATAATGCAGAATGCAGGCAGAAGCAGGAATTTAATTCGCTTTGACGACCATGAAAGGGCAAACACCCACTCAGCTCTGATCTTCTGCCCCCTTTACTCAGCCGCGCTCGTCCCCGACCGTTAACAACTATATAAGCGGTCAAAGCTCACTTCAACACTTGCTCTTGTCAAGGGCGGACACATTTCTCCTACTCTCCCTCTCCACTTCGCTTTGTTCTGTCCTGTCTGTGAAACTGCTTGGAGCCTCTCTTCTACAAATCTTCTGAATCATAATTTATGGATTTGGTCAGTTGGTCCCTCAATGCAATTGATAACATTTCTTTGAAGAGAAGACAGGTTTTAGGTGAGCCGATTTGTCCAGTTGGCACGCATGCAGTTGGATATCTCATCGACTTGGAAGACTTGATGATGTGTTTATCTCTGCTGTCATTCGTGGATTCGTGGACACATATATAAATGGATTTATGATAACTGGTTCCTGCTTTTTGAATTTGGCTGGTTCCTGGTTTATCTACAATCAAGGAAGTCGTCGACAGCAAATTTAGACCTGGTCAGGTTGCTTACCTTACGATGGCTTGGTTCATGCCTCGAGCACCCAGACTCAATTGCTTTTGGCAGGATGGATCAGATCTTGGGGTTTACTCTCAGGCACAGTCCATTGGTGTGGCCATTTAATTTGGATGTTTTGGAATCAAGTGCACCAAAACAGACTCAAGGTAGATGTCATTAAAGTTCTGCCTGTCCCAAAAACAATTGTGTTTATCTGAATTTGGCTCCCTCACTGGCCTTGACAGGCTATCTTATCTTAATTTGTCTGGAGGTTTTGTAAACCTGATGCACTGCCCCTCCCTCCCCTCCTGCCGAAGAATTCCACGGACTTTTCAGAGGGGCCCAGCTGAATAAACATTTTGTCATCATTTCAGGACTCTTTGGAATTGTCCTTGGTTGTCCTCGACACACCCAACGTGTATACGGATCTCTCCAGAGGGAACTATTTGAACTGAGTGATTTTATCTGAACTCTGCAGTGCCTCTGTGTGTTGTTGCATGAGAACTGGTGTAACAACGGGACAATTATAGACAATCACTGTTCCCAAGACCTTGAGTACATGTCCGTGAGATGCCGACCTTTTTTTCTACCGAGACAGCTAACAGTTGTGATAATTACTGCTGTGTATATACCACCCGATGATAATGTAAATACGGCGTTCTCTCTCCAGCTGAACACCATCAATGAACAGCAGCAGGCTCACCCCAACGGTGTTCATATAATTGCAGGAGATTTCAATAGGGCTAATCTGAAGACTATACTCCCAAAATTCTACCAGCATGTCAAGTGTTCTACTAGAGGGGAGAACACTCTGGATCATGTTTACTCAAACATTAAACATGCATACAGAGCCATACCCCTCCCCACCTCGGGCAGTCAGACCATCTTTCCCTCCTGCTCCCCCCAGCTTACACCCCCCTCAGATGCAAAGCGAGGCCTACAACAAAAACTGTTACAACCTGGCCTGGTAATGCACTCGATGAACTACAGGACTGTTTTGAACAAACTAACTGGGACTTATTTGAACATCAGGAGATGGAAACATACACAGGAACGGTACTGGACTACATCAAGTTCTGCATCGGAAATGCGACTATGGTCAAAAACATTCGGGTTTACCCCAACCAGAAACCCTGGATTCAGGTTTGCACACTCCTCAGAGCCCGCGATGCTGCCTTCAGGTCAGGTAACAGAGCTCTCTACCGAGCTGCTCGAGCCAGCCTGAATAAGGGAATAAAAATCGCAAAGGATGACCATAAAAGGAGTATAGAGTCCCATCTGTCCAGTAATAACTCACAGGAGGTGTGGAAGGGCATAAAAAACATCACAAACTATAGAGGTTGTGAGGTGACACCAGGAGACCTGAGTGCATCACTAGCAGAGGAGCTAAACTGCTCCTTTGCACGCTTTGAAGCACCACAGCAGCACTCATCTGATCCAGCCCTGCCCCCACACCCACCCGGTTACTGCACTACTCCACTCACTGTACGGGAGCATGATGTTAGACGTTTGCTCCAATCAGTGAACTCCAGGAAAGCTACTGGCCCAGATGGAGTACATAGCAGGGTGCTCAAAGCATGTGCCCTCCAGCTCGCTCCCATTTTCACCAAAATTTTCAATCTCTCCCTGGCCCAGGCAGTCATCCCTCCCTGCTTAAAATCTGCAACTATCATCCCAGTGCCAAAAACGCCTACCATCACCAGCCTGAATGATTACCGAGAGCGGCTCTCACTCCGGTAATCACGAAGTGCTTTGAGAAACTAGTTCTCCAGCACATCAAGGACTATCTCCCTCCGAACTTTGACCCCTACCAGTTTGCATATCGCACCAACAGGTCCACAGAGGATGCTATTGCAGTAGCTCTCCACAATGCGCTGAGCCACCTGGAACAACAGCACAGCTATCCTGATACATGCTCAATAATCCAGGTAGAAAAATCCAAAAAAGTTCAATCTGGTCCTCTGGACATTCAAAAAGCACAGCACAGCTACGTTCGAATGCTCTTTGTGGATTACAGCTCGGCCTTTAATGCAATCATTTCAGACATTCTTATAAATATATTGGACAATCTCGGCCTCCCCCCCTCACATGTGCCTGAATAAAAGACTTCCTAACCAATCGGCCCCAATCTGTAAGACTTGGTCCCCACCTCTCCTCCACTCGTACGCTGAGCACTGGCTCCCCACAGGGCTGTGTGCTGAGCCCCCTGCTGTACTGTCTCTACACCCATGACTGCAGCCCGTCCCACAACAACCACCTCATCGTCAAGTTCGCTGATGACACCACAGTGGTCGGACTAATCTCTAAGGGAGATGAGACATTTTACAGACAGGAGGTCCTGGAGCTAGCAACCTGGTGCTCAGAGAAAAACCTGGCTCTGAATATCAAAAAACCAAGGAGGTAATTATTGATTTCAGGAAGCACAGCACCAACCTAGACCCCCTTTACATCAATGGCGAGTGCGTGGAGAGGGTTCACACTTTCCGATTTCTTGGTGTCCATATCTCTGCTGACCTTAACTGGAAACAGAACACCACAGCGGTCATCAAGAAGGCTCAGCAGAGACTACACTTCTTAAAAGTACGTAAGAAGCACAACCTGAACACCAAATTGCTGTTGACCTTTTACCGCTCGTCGATTGAGAGTCTGCTGACATACTGTATCTCAGTATGGTACGGCAGCTGCACCCTGACTGACAGGGAGAGGCTTCAGAGAGTAGTCAAGACAGTACAAAATATAATTGGCTGCCCTCTCCCCTCCCTGATGGACATTTACACATCACACTGCCTCAACAGAGCAGAAAACATAATCATGGACTGTTCACACCCGGGTTTTGAACTGTTTGACTTGTTACCTTCAGGGAAGCACTACAGGTGCATCAGAACAAGAACAAACAGATTCAAGAACAGTTTTTTCCTGAAAGCCATCACCACACTGAACTCACACATGCACTGATTTAATAATCTAACCTCCCAAACCCCTGGACTTCTATTGTGCAACACTACTGACATTTCATACTCTCAGTCACCTTAACTACCTCGCTAATAACCATAATGTGCAATATAATTGAGAAATACTTGTATTTTTTACTTTCATAGTGCTATTATATCTATATTGCGTTACATTTTTTATATTTTTAGTGTGTGTTTTTCTTAAGCATGTTTTTTTCACTGAAAAAAGGAGTGGCTCTTAATTTCATTGTGCTCGTGTGAAATTTTTTCATCATCTTGCTGTTAACCTTCAAACAAAGATTAAGCGCGTGTTAGGAATTTATTTAGTCTCAAAGTAATTATTAGTAAACAAATAAATAAAAACTTCTTCTTTTGGCTGCTCCTTGCGTTAGGGGTCGCCACAGCAAACTAAGTCGCATGAAGACTTGGCAATTATTTTTACGCCGGATGGCCTTCCTGACGCAACCACACATCACCGAGCTACCACAGCCCTCTGTGTGGAGCAAAGAGCTGCTATCTAGGGCAACCGGAGGAGCAGATGGTGGGGGTTAAGGGCCTTGCTCAAGGGCCCAGAGTGGGGCAAATGAGGGTGGGGGCAGGTGTGGGTGCTTCACCTACCCCACTCACATTTTTGATGTTATCAATACTGGGAGTTGAACAGGCAGTCTTCCAATCCCAGGCCCACCTTCTCTAACCTCTGCGTCACCACTCCCAAACAAATAAAAACACCAACCAAAATGAAAAATGTGGCAGATTTTTCCTCATAAGTCATTCTGAGAACTAAATAAAAAAAGTTCATATTTGTAAAACCAAATAAAAGAACTCATGAAATACATTAATTTAATGAAAGCTACACACAGAAAAATGACAGATTCATCAGTGAGTCATGCTCTGTGAAGCGTTGTTGATTACATATTTTTTCTGCACATTCATCTTAAAAAAGATAACTATGCAATGTATTTATAGTTCTATAAAGTCTTTTATAAAGTTTATTTCATAAAGCAGCAGAAATACTAAAACTGTACCTTGCCTGTGGATCATTCCTCCGTGCATTATCCTTGCAACAATGCAATGGTTGGAGTCGTTCATCTTCAGCGTGATGCCCTGGGCAACACAAATACATCTTGGATCAGTGACCCACGGCCAAAAGTTTCACTGTCACAATAGTGGCCGCACCAATCAATCAGCTGCAGACTAAAACTAAAAATCTCTTTTTGCCATTGTCAATAAACACTGTACACTTTGCTGTAAAAATTGTTACGGAGTGAAGAAAACTTGAAGTTGGCTGTACGAAAAGTCTGTAGGGAGTTTCAAAATAAAATCAGATGAAGAACAAAAGGTGTGAGAGGCAATTAAAAAATTATTTTTATGGCATTATTTAGTAGATCTTATAATCAGAAGGTTTTTATTTATAAATACAGGTGAAAATACAAGTTCAGCTTTCCTTAGGAGTAAAAGAGACTTCACCAGATAAAAGGATGGCTGACTGGACTTTAGAAAAGTTGCTCGATTTCAACTTTTTGAGCTTCAACCTCCATTAGTCATGAAAATATTTTTGGAATAATGGCAGCCTGTTGGAAAACTTTGAGCCAAAGTAGGGTAAATTTTCCATCAAGGAAACACACAAAGACTGCTGTTACAGATGTCATGGTGTCCATTAACAGAACAAAACACGAAAAATGTCAAATTAAATTTGTTTTTTTTAACAGTTTAAAAGTAAAGCAGATATTTTTCCTAACAAACGTTAAATTGGACACAACTGCAATTTATTTTAAATGAAAGTTTAGAAGAAAAAAAGAGATTATTTGCAAATTTACAAGTAAAATAATTTGTTTGGTTGATTATTTCTTTGCTGTAACAATGCTTATTGGTAATTCATTTTATATATTCCCAAAAAGTATGTTTATTTTCCTTGGAATGGCGCCACATCTATTATGAAAATGCATTTATGGGACAAACAGCAAAGTTGAGTAAGTAAGCTGCACTCATGGAAACTTGCATGATCTTTGATAATGCCAGACAGCTTATTCTGCTACTGATCTTAGCAACCAGTGGACCCATGGTCTGGGACTGAACTCTATCCTGCAAGATGACAACTCTCACCCCTACAGAGAGGGGTTTGTCAGAAACTACCACCAGAATTGGCAGTAGAAAAGAGGTAATGGTCTGCTTGCAGTCTTGACATCAACCCCATTGAAGACCTGAGAGATAGGCTTTGGTGGGCTGTTCATTCCAGAGTGACCAACACAACTACATTGGCTAACTTGTGACAAATGCAGACTGAAGAGTGGAATGCCATACCACTTCATTGTGTGACCAAGCTAGTAAGCAGAATGAGAAGGAGATGCCAGGCTGTTGAAGCTGTGTATGGTTCTTCCACATGCCACTGAAACCCGTGACTGATAAATGAATAGCAATTTTAAATTGGTAATGTGTCTCATTTCTCAAGACTCTAATAATCTAATCCAATAAATAACACAAAATAAGTCAAAGGCAGAATAAGTTGTTTAGCATTGCCAGAGAAAACTTGGTAAGTTTTTCATGGGTGTAACCTACATACTCAACTCTGCCTCTCAACCCACAAATGCATTTTCCTAACAAATGTAGCACCCATATAGGACAAATAAACAGGCTGTCCAACAGCATGAGGTTCATTGCCAAGAGGCAATGCTACAACAAAGACCAAACAAAAATTCCCTTACGTTTTATGCTTATAGTGCTACGAGAGGTCTCTTTCCACACTTGGAGGAACAAAGATCTGTAAACTGGTGTAGGTTTTTTTGATAAAATGTTTTTTTTCCTCATAAAAATCATGCTATATTCAGAAAAATAAAATATTAAATTGAAATAGAAGTAATAAAAAGCAGAGCCCGACAGATGCATCGGTAAGCCCGATATTTTAGGCCGAAATAGGCATCTGTATTGGTGATAATTGGACCAACACTTCTAATTTTCACCCCTAAAATACTGTGAATGAGCTGTGTCCTTACTTGCAAATGGCATAATTGTATTGTACTGTAATGTACTGTGGACTACTTTCATGTCATGGCCATGCTGCACACGACTCAAACACATCCAAAGCAGGGAACAATACGTAGCGTATTTTGCTGAACAGAGCATGGTAAGTTTATTGTAACTGATCTGTAAAATTAAAAAAAAATCAACAATAGGAAATTCTCTTCAATCCTCCAACACGCTACAAGTTAAGCTAAAAGTTAAGCTAAAAGTTAAGCTACAAGTTAGTTAGCAAGCTAACATTTAGATAACCTAGTATAGGCCTTGTTACACTTTAACCAGAACAATAAATCTAACATAGAGGTAAATAGAAGCAGGGCAGCCGGCTCGGGACCCGAAAGTCCCAGGTTTGATCCCCGGTCACTGCACACCTCGTGGTGTCTCTGGGCAGCACACCTCATCCCCAAAATGCCCCCCAGGCACTTTCAATAGCTGCCCACTGCACCACCTGGTGGTGGATGGGTTAAATGCAGAGACTAATTTCATCATTGTATGGAAACATACAGTGATGACACTGTGTAACATTATTATTATTATTATTATTATTATTATATATCAGTGTCATCCTGATGCATGCTCGCTCAGTGTTAGTAATGTTATCTTTGTCATCCTCAATGAAATGCATTGTTTGTCTGAAATCTTTACTTCTCTACAAAGAAAAAAAAGTAGCTGCAGTCAATACTTTTATGTATGCTATTTGTAAATAGTATTGGGAAATACTATTTGTATGCTTCCTTTTATAATTGTCTACTATTGACTTTGTTGTCTACTGTTGTCATCACTCTTTGTTAGAATCAAGTCTCTCTTGTAAATGAGTCCCAAAGGCTCATTGGGATAAACCTGTATAAATAAAGGTTGAATGGAAAAAAAAACCTACAAAGTAATTAGACCTTCACCATACGTGACTGACTGTTTAAACAATGAACATGGAAGGTGTTTCTTTGTTTAATTTATAGTTTTGTAACACACTTGATAACTTTATGACTAGTGGAGTATAGAAAATGTGAAGGCATGTTAGGAAGACTGCTTCAAGACTTCAAGTGTCAAAACAGGTTTAAAAGTAGCTGTTTACTTAGATTCTTGGGGATAGACAAAGTGAAAAAAGTTTCAGCCAGTATATCATTTATTGGCATTACTCCCTCCGGTGATAGCCAACATTTCTATATCAGTTGGGCTCTAATAAAAAATAAGTAGAAAACTGTTATTGATCATATTTATTTGTCAGACTTTTGCTCAGCTTTCTATTTGTGATTACGTACCATCGGCTCGTCTGTGTTTTTCTGGAACTGGACTAGACGCACTCTGGTGACATTCTCCAGGTCCATGTCTCCATTGGCGCTCTCCGGAGAGTCTCCGTTAAGGTATGGTGAGGTGGGTGGAGGGGTCACCCGCAATGCCTCGTCACTGTAAACTTCATGGGCAACCACGTCGTGGGTCTGCAGCAGCGCCTGTGGCCGCACAGAGACACACAGAGAACAGGAGATTTGATGGCAAAGTTGCTAAAGTGAAAAGGCTGCCAATGTTTCACAAATAAACAAAACGCAAACTTAAAGGTGGAAAAAAGTAAAAATATATGTATTTTTGTAACTCTATGAATCATGGACAAACTTCCATGTTAAATGTGATTTTGAGGTTAACCTGAACAAGAGAACCTCACAGAACACACACAGGTTAAGGTGAACTTTCTCTCTCCATTTTTATAAAGGTTTAAAAAACCTACGAAGAGTAACTACTTCTTTATTTTCTCTTTACCACCCAATAGATTCTTGTTCTGATTGAGAGCCAGAGAGTCAGAGTTCAACTAAAAAACAGTTTGTTCAGGTTCTATTGTCCAATTCCACCTCGACCATGATAATTACTGGTCCACAGCAAAAAAAGAGAAGAACTGATTACATTAACTGTTGCAGATTATTTTTATGTATAAAAATCTGATGTCAAAACTAGCATATGCAGTGTTAATCAAATGTGCCTCTTGTGACAGACTTTGGTACACAACTTTTTTATGTTTGGGAAGATAAATAGCTTATTTCACAAAACAATTCAAAGCCTGACCTGAGATGTGATTTTACTATCTCTGTGCAATTTATGAATGAACCAAGATGGCATCGGGCAGTTGAAGTCAACTTGCTGTTGTTACTCCTACGAGTCGCCAAGAGAGGCAGTGACAGAGCTGTAACGGTTGATATAAAAAATGACAAACCTGCATTGTGTTTCAAGGGCATTATGTGGTGATGAGTCTGTTTGACCAGCCAACTGTGGGATTTAGAAAAGGGGATGTCCAACAAACCTTTTATGTATAGTTCTACACATCAAGGCTCTCCACAAGTCTATTGCTTTTTTGCTGATTTCATTTATAAAGTTTACAGTGGTTTACGTAGGATGTGGCTACTCCACTTGCAGCTGAAAAACAAGCTCGTCTTTGACAGAAGCCACTTGTCACATATGTGACACATGGAATGCATGGAACAGACAATACAATGGTTTTATGAAATTAATCAACTTTTAACAAAGAAAATACATTGTGACTTTCTTATAACACAACTTAAACCATTTATGTTTGTGTTGTGTGTTTCCTTGACTGATGAAGCCTTCTGGATCGAAGGCGAAACGTTTCAGCACAAAAAAAGAAAATGTCCAGAAGACTTGACTGAAAAATGTTGGATTGTATACCTGGATTATTGAGCATGGACTTTGTTGTTTTCAACCAGTTTGACATGACTGTCAACAAGGAAGAGGGCCAGCAATGGAGGAGGGGGTGTACCAAAGAGACCATCTTAACACCAACCAAACTGGTTTGTTCCACTTTGGAGTAAACTGTTGGGGGAAGAATCAGTTTTGTTGTGTGTTTCCTTGACTGATGAAGCCTTCCGGATTGAAGGCGAAACGTTTCAGCACAAAAAAAAGAAACTGTCCAGATGACCTGACTGAAAAATGTTGGACTAAACCATTTATGTTTAAAAAAGTGCTCCTGAAAATCTATTTGAAGAGCCACCCCATTGATCCCCTTCATTACAAAAACAGTTGAGACACCCTGACCCTCTGGTATGAACATGCAAAATGTAGGGGTAGCTATGTGCATCATCTTATGCATTGCCACTCAAATCATGACCACGTTGCCAGATGGCTGCAAATGCAGAAAATGCAGAAAGACGAGGGGCTGACTGCAGGGACCCAACAGAGTTTGGTGCCAAACTGACCAGGTGAGACTTCATCTTCGTATTCAATAAAATAATGGGTATTAATAATTACCATCACCAGTTACATTAAATTTTGTGTGGACAATACTATAAAAACAAAAACAGTTAGATTTTACCCTAATAATAAACCTTGGGTCAATAAAGAAATTAAGCATCTTTTAAACCAAAAGAAAGCAGCTTTTAAAGGAGGAGATTTGCAAAAGATGAGGGAACTAGAGAAGGAAATAAGTTGCATGATTAAGAAAGTTAAAATAAATTATAAAGATAAAGTTGAGAGGGAACTGAGTAATGGCAATGCAAGAGATGCCTGGAGGGGACTGAACGCAATAATGGGGAGGAAATAAAAATATTCCCTTCAACACACTGACCCTTTTCGTCTTGCAAATAAATTAAATGTTCATTATTCAAGATTTGACATCCATGACTTCAGTGATGAGATTGACTCTTTCTGTGCAGCCTTGACACCAACTCCTGTGGAATTACAGGAGAAATAGGTAGTTTTGATTTTTCAGAACATCAATCCTCATAAAGCAGCTGGGCCAGATGGGATTAAAGGAAGGGTATTAAAAGAATGTGCCACACAGCTGGGTCCTGTGTTCAAACAGATATTTGAGTTGTTCCTTAACACTAGCTTTGTCCCACAAGCATGGAAAATGTCAACTATTGTCCCAGTGCCCAAAATATGCAAAGGCACTGAATGACTTCAGACCAATTGCCCTCACATCTGTATTATGCAAATGTATGGAGCGCTTAGTGAGCAGAGAACTCGTATGTTACAGCTGAGCATATGGACCCTTTGCAGTTTGCCTATAGGACTAACCGAGGTGTGGAGGATGCCACTCTCTCCCTCCTCAACAAGGTCCATAATCATTTAGACAACCCAAAGACATGTTCACATATTATTTGTGGACTTTTCATCTGCTTTTAATACGGTTCAGCCACATATACTTTTAAAACGCCTATGTGATCTAAATGTCAGCAGCCATCTTGTGTTGTGGATTAGCAATTTTTTAAGAGGAAGACCTCAGCGAGTTTGTGTTGATAACACTCCAAAAAAGTTCAATCTGGTCCTCTGGACATTCATTTTTTTTTGAATGTCCAGAGGACCAGATTGAACTTTTTTGGATTTTTCTACCTGGATTATTGAGCATGCATCAGGATGTTGATAACACTCTATCTGACTGTAGGATCTTCAGTGTTTCCCCTAGTTAACGTGCCATGGCGGGGCGCTCATCTCATCCATGATTTTTGTTGACGGAGGGGGAGACGTCTGAGCGCAGCTTGAACCAACAGTTTTTGAGGAGGGGGGTGGGGTTCAGCTTTAGAGAAAAGGCAATGTGAGTGATGCCTTTAGCTTTATAGCTAGAGAGCCTGTATTTCATGCAGCTAGCTTATTGGTATGTCAGTGCCGGGTGTTGGGGGGCAAGTTCGGTTTGTTAGGCGGGGTGCTCAGTTCTGTTGACGTGGTGGGGCACCTCGCTTGTATAATGGTAGGGGAAACACTGGTCTTGAACACTGGTGTTCCACAGGGTTGCATACTATCGCCTCTTTTATTCTCTATATACACAAATGAGTTGCAACACAACAGTGAAGATTTCACATTAAGTATGCTGATGACATTGCCCTAGTTGCTGGTCTGAAAGACATCAATAGTCCCTCCTACTCCCAGCTCATAGACCAGCTCTCTATCTGGTTTGATGACAGTTTCCTGGCCCTTAATGCCAGTAAAATCAAGGAACTTTGTTTGGGAGGTAGATGGGGAGCAGCCAGCACCAGACCTACATTTAGGCCTTCTTTTATTAAAGGGCAGGAAGTAGAGCAGGTGGCTGATTTTAAATACCTTGGAACAATAATTGACAACAAGTTGACCTTTGAGCCCGACACTGACTATATTTACAAAAAAGCCAGACGTCTCCACCTTCTGTATACGCTAAGGAGCTTTAATGCAAGCAAAATTACTTTGCAGTTGGTGTACAGGTCACTGGTTGAAAGTGTTGTTTCATTTAATATTGTCTCATGGTATGGGAACCTCCTAGCCAGAGACAGGAACAAGTTGTCCCGTGTGGTCAAACAAGGTAGTAAAGTCATTGGTCTTCAACAAATGACACTTACAGACCTGTACAGTCAGGTTCTGGAAAAAAAGGCAATACAGGTTTACAATGACCCAACTCATCCACTGCAACCATTATTCAGGTTGGTACCATCTGGTAGAAGACTGCTGGTTCCTTTAGCAAAGAAAAATGGGTACAAAAAGTAATTTTTTCCCTCTGCGGTGAATGTACTTAACAAGGTCCTATTTAAACGCAGCCTCACATAAACTACTGTCTGCTGGGATGTTTTCATATTTTAATGTATCATGTATTTTAGAATGGTTTTAACTGAATGTTTTTAATTGATTTAGCAAAGCTTGGTTTTAAAGTTTTTAAAGTTTTTTAATCACATTTTTATTTTGTTTTTATAAGCCAGATGTCAAAGACAAATCTCCATTTTATTGAATGTTATGGACAATAAAGTTGATTGATTGATTGATTGATTGATTGATTGATTGATTGATTGATTGATTGATTGATTAAGGGGTAAGGTCTCACTGTGGAGCTGAAGGGGCTCGGATAGTGCTTCTTTGTTTCAGAAAATCCGTGCCGAGGCCAACGTACTGACTGGGTGAAAGACTCTTAGTCAGAAAGGGTTGACCTGAAATGCTGGGGACTTGAGGGAACTGGAGATACTAGCTTGGTCTGAAGGGTCCAAGGGGGGCCTTCGGTCTGACAGGAATAAATTCCTGGGCAGAATTGCCTTGACTGTTGGGGCAAGAAAACAAAAGAGGTGTTGAGTAAAACCAAGAAGTTCTCAGTCACCGAAAGTCCAACACTCTGGGACACAGTCCAATGGCATTTCATTGAACTCCCTTTTGCCTTAACAGGCTGTGGCGAAAACAACAGACATTGCAAACTGTTGTGGCAGGAAAAGAAATAAGGGGAATCGTTGGTTACGTACTGTAACCCCAGATTCTATGAGTATAGGCGTAGCCCTTTAAGGCTGTCGCTGGTGGGTTTCATCCCGTCGCGCGAAGCGCAGCACTGAAAACTTTAGTCCACGCCCACATGCTGTGTGGGCCTCACCCGGTCAAATAAATTATGGTGAGACCGGGTAATCGGCTCCCAAATAGCTTTTTCTTCAGCCATTTAGGAACTAGTGAGGCCCAGAGCATAAAGGGTTACGCCTATACTCAAAGAATCTGGGGTTACAGTATG